CATATTTAGGTGACAATAATATAACTGTGAGCTTTAATCCTTTGGTAGACGAGGTTCAGGGTAGAGCCTCTCTTATATCAGCCACAGCCCTTGGCATTCAAATAGGTAACATACACTGTTCAAAACGTTGATTGCTTTTATTTTTTAATTATACCGTGAAAAAGGTACCCTGACGTCAAAACTTTTGTTTTGTTAATCTCAGGATTAAGCGTTAATTTCAATTGTATGCAGACCAACAGATTAATACAATTCTTTTCGATAGTCCATGGCGCTCATACCCTGCAGGGAAAATTTTGATTGAGGGATTGAAAACATTAAAAATGCCCACATTGGATATCAAGATCCAGTGACAGTGTTAGAAATTAATAATAATCCACACTAAGTTCCGATTTCTGAACATTATCAGAAGTAAAAAGTTACAAATTATAAACACAAAAATTGTAATGAAAAGAATAAACGAAGATTATAATCATTTCACTTTGTTTTGGTTACAGTTAATTTCTATATCAATTTTACATTTTATCCTGCCTTCAGTTCCTGCCATACTCTCTACTCTGATAATAGTAAATGGAGCGGATAAGATAGGACGGAAGATGCTTTTTATAATTCCGGTTTTTGGATACTTCCTCTACAATCTAAGGAACAGTACAGAACTTTATACATCATTTCATTCTCGTTATCCAAGATTTTGCGTAATTTTCTGTTATTTTTCGTGCATTTTCTCATTTCCATTTAAAAATCAAAATTGCTGTTTTTCAGATAAAAGTTTAAATCATGGTGAAACTGGCAAGAAACTTGAACTAAAATGGCGTGGTCCCTTCTTTTGCAGTCCCTTAACCCGATCTGTTCATTGAAATTATTACGAAAAAAATGTATATTTGAATTTAACTGATGTTCAATGGTTTCAATAATGGCATTACATTTTCTCTTTGTCCCCTACCATTTTAAAAATTCTCTTTTCTCTGTTAATATTTTAGCAAAATTGTTTTCTGTCTAGCTTCACGCTGAACTGGTATTACAAGGAGGTGAGCTCCTGGCTACTAACTGCTGAAGCTGTTCATGAGTGTTTAGGACATAGATTAATAACAATACAGAGAGAACACTAGATGTCGTCTTTTCAAGATTTATGGGTTTTTTGTTCACAATAACCTTGGGCAGAAAGCCAAAGGAGTAACGCGAATGGTCTCTATCTGTCTTGTCATTCAACCCTGCATGCGCGTAACTCCTTTGGGTTTCTGCCTCGGGGTTATTGTGAACAAACAGCCCCTATATTTTGAAAAGACGACATATTGCGTTCTGTCTGTATTGTTATTAATCTATGGTTTAGGAGGTCGTCATGTTATAACAGTTGCTGCTATTCTTTATATCAGTGATATATCAACTCCAGAACACAGAACATTAAGGTTTGAACTGTACACTCTGTTAATGTAAGAACACTGTACTGTACACTGTTTAAACAAATATGCAGGGTGCCCAAATAAACATGGGAATTTAGAGACGACTTGAAAGTCGTCTTTGAATTCTGATATTTTATGCATGACAAAGAAAGTAAAAAACTATGCTGTACGTCTAACATTCATGCTAACTACAGTGATAACCAGAAAACAGTGGAATAGGAAGACGACATTATAGCAATAAAAAAGTGTATTTGACGTTGTTTTCAAGCAAATAGTTTTACTAGTCGCTTATTAAATCACTACTTTGGTGAAATGGGTCTGTTTAAACGGGACGATTGTTGGCTCATTAGACCTTTAAAGTTATAACTTGAGTCTAAAAGTCGTCTCCCTATAATAACTTTTAATGATTTTTTCTTGATGGTCATACTCTGTAGGGATAACTTAAACTGAAGGATTAAAACTAACGATACAAATTTACGACCTCACAACTTCAGAAGTCAGGACTTTTGTGCAGTTGTAAATCTGTGTTGTGAAATCAAGCACTAATCTACACCTTCTTCAAAGGCCAATGGATTGATTTGATTTCACGTAAAGGTCACACCCTCTATGAATTAAGGGCTCAAGCATTAATTCTCAAATTTAAAAGTCTCCATGCTGGATATCTAGATCAAGCATTTAAGATTTACAATATCCACTAATATAACATAAAAGTTCTCATCTCTGAATATTTTCAGAGATAAATCACACATTTCCTTTACAAATAATTTTATTAATAACTTACTCATGGCTTTTCACAGCAGACGCATATTGTTTACGTTTTTTTGAGTTTTATGTTACCCATAGAATTAGTTCTATGATTCTATATCCTTCATATTTTAGAATGAACATAGTTGGTCTAATTGAGCTTGTTGCTTCTGCTATTGGTACAGGAGTAGCCGGTACTCTTCTAACAGCTGAAAACATACTTGGTGATCATCATTCATAAATCAATTCGAATAGAGAAAAATCAATACCATTACATAAAAAATAAAAAATACTAAATCTCAGTTAAAGATGTGATTTTCTCTTTCTTTTCTACTGTTTAAAAGTATATTGTTGGGAATATTAAAAATCTCTGAAGGGGTTGTAAAAAAAATCGGCAAGTTAAGAATTACCCTCATCTTTCTCTTCTTTTATAAACTCATTTACAATTGTTAATTCCTTTCAAAGTATTTGTTTCTAAAACAAAAAATTTTCATCAAAAATCTAAATATCTTTAATCCTTAAACATAAAAATATTTTTTCATCATAGGAAGCCCTGGTCATGATGATATCTACAATGGTTTCTACAGTGTATATGGAATCTCTACCTGTCTCTATATTATTGGGAATGCTTAGCAACAATATCAATAGTTTCAGACTTTAGAAAAAAAACTTTTTATAAAAGATGGGATATTTTTTAATTTTAATAATTGATAGTATGTTTGATAGATATTTGCGAAATGTCGATCCAATATTTTTTAAACACCCGAAATGTTTTAAAATGGCATCATGGGTGTCCCAATAAACATGGGAATTCAGTGACGAATTCGATATCGTCTTTTCAAATAATTCTTTGATTTAGTATAGTGATACCTACTGAGAAAGCTGTAATCTGTTAGAGTTTCGTCTGCTATGTTCACATTTTGTTTATTTATGTTTTGACTGCATACGGTTGTACTTAGTAAAACAAGAAAATTGCAGTATACAAACAGTGTAAACTTCACTGTTCATCTTGCGTAGACATTATAGACACATCTTTACAGTGTTTTACCCTTTTCATAAAATAAACTCTAGCAGACATAATAATATTATGGCTTTGAAATTAGGTATTACAGTGCTAATTCATAACAAAGACGATATCCAATTCGTCACTGAATTCCCATGTTTTTTGGGACACCCTGTAGTTCTATAGGTTTTTACCTGAGCCAAGAACTTTTTAATTGTTAACCCCTAAGCACTGATATCTATAATTTATGGCCCAATAGATTTAGTTAATAGATTTATTTAATCTCTTTCAATTCAGAAGCTCCACAAAAAAAGACAGCAAGTACTATCTTCTATTTGCTAATTATAGTATTTGATTAGGATACTGTATATTATATTCATAGTGAAGGAGACAAGAACAAAAGATAAAATAACAGAAAAGTTGGCAATCTCAAATATCTTCTCTCCAACTAAGGAAAAATCAATCAATCATTCAATCAATCTATCAATCAAAATTAGCATGATATCATAGTTATTTGTGATGTTCAGTTATTGTTCAGTTAAGAAATTTTAATAATTCAACTTTTGACTGACCAATGGAAAAAACGTGGTCATCATAAAAAGTGGTAAATTGGATTATAAAGTGCAGGTCAGTCGTGAGATTAAAATGTACTGCAGTCGGGATTATAAAATGGTCGGTCATGAATGTAAAGTGGTAAAGTGGGGTTCGTCTAAAGTTGAATCTTTTTTAATGAAAAATGATGTCACTAGATTTTTAAAACTATAATAATTGCCACAATTGTAAATGTAAACACAAGTCAATCAAAGACAAAAATTTCATCGGCCTTTTTGTTTAAAAAAAATAAGATTTATAAAGATATTTTCGATTATTTTGTTAGATTGTTGGGACTTTAAAATCCGTGTTTAGAAAACGTGAACATGGAATTAGAAAATATATTGGTAAGTCTGACTCTAAAGTTTTACTTTTGTGTGTTTTTAGAAAGAAAAAAAATCAATGCCATTTGATTTTTGAGTAGTTTAAACTTGATATTTTTTAACAATGTTTTATAATTTTTTTTAATAATTTTTGTAAAATGGTTTCAGCTCTTCTCAGGGAGCAGGGACAGGGCCCTTTCAGAAAGAGCTCCGAACGCTAAGTAGAGTGAATATAAAATTAGTATTAGACATATTAGCTCTTTGTTATTCCTATTTCTTGACTTAGTACCCCGACCTTGGGTACTGTAGTTAAGAAAAAGGCTATCTAATTGAGCACATGGTTGAGGGCCGCTTGGCCTTCCCTCCCTCCATATGTGTAGACACCTTTCTCTGCGTCCACTGCAAATAGTGCAGGGAGCTTTCTAGCAGAGCTCTGCTATCCTAGGCTGTAGGAAGGCAACTGACAAACTTGATAAAAAAATGAACCGGATTTAAAGTGAGAACATTTTTACTTAATCAATTACAACTCTTCAATGTTCTCCATAAAGGTAACAGCAAAGCAGTTGTTACTTTTAAGATATATTAATTTCTTAGATTTTTTTCTTAACTTAAAATTTTGTTGATACAAATATTGTGAAATTTGACTATATCGGAATGCATCGAAAAAGAATCAATGATTACATGCTGTAATATCTGAATGATTTATTTGGAAATAAATTAATTTTTTACGATCCGAGTTGAATGTTGCAACTTACTGAATTTGTATGGACGCTACGTTCTTCAGTATGAGTCGTTTTTAACAATTTTCTGCTTGTAGTCGCTTAACAGATAGGAGTAAGATTAGTAACGATCACTATCGAATATTTTTCAAAGTAAGCCTACACCCCCTTTCATTTTTCGCGAACACTCTCTTTATCAAAAACATGTATAACTTATTGATACTTGATCAAACAACGTTTTCAAGGATACTGTTGTGTATCGTACATGCCTCTCATTTTTAATGCAGGGACACTAGAAATTACATGTACAGTCCTTTTCATGTAAAATTGATTATATTTGTTATTTTTAGTTCTTCTGATTCTGACATATATTCTGATTGCAATAAACTATGGTGGTGTATATCTAAGGAAATTTTTTTTATAAAAGTAATAAATCATGTTTTTATAAATATGATAAATCAACTTTTTAATCAATATAGTATATATCTTTTTGTAAATATGATAAATCATTTTTTTATGGATTTAATAAACCATATTTTCTTATAAATATAATATATTACCTTTTTTAATTATAATGAATCATTTTTTTCATAAGTATAAAAAAAATCGATAAAATAAATATAATAAATCTATATTTATAAAATTAAAATCATCCTTTTCATAAATATTATAAATTTTTTTTTTTTCAAAAGTGGATGAAAAAAAGCTGTTAATCATAATAAATATATTTAACCTTGTAAGTAATGAAGAACAAAACATTAAATCCACATTTTTTTTATTTAAATTCTTTAATAAAAAGTAAAAAAATGATTTGTTCAGTGGTTCTCTTTGGCTTTATTATCAGAAGCTTGGATGGACTATAGATGAATTTACAACATTTATCAGGTTAAATGTTTGGGTTTAAATTACAGAGATTCCCATGATTAAGTAAGATTATCTCGAGGCTCTAACACCAAAGTATGATACTTTAAGAAAATTTTTACATTAGTCTTATACAACTTTTTTAAATGATTCACAAAAATGAATTCTGATTAGTCCCTTAAATCTAAATTCAGAGCTTTAAACGATGTAATATGACGTGGGACACTCTGTAATATGTGATTTTTGGCCCCCCCCCCCCCACTCCCCACTCTTCAATTTGTGAATGCACACACTATTCCAGGTTATAGGTTAGATTACAGTCATCATCGTATGTATAAAAAATCTTCCAGCTTGAATACATATAAAAGAATATAGAAGCTATCAATAAATCTCTTTTTTACTTGTTAACTTGTATTTTGAAAAAAGCTTGAAAGAAATCAAAATTTTTATATTATAAAAGTCGTCTTCATTGTATTGATATAAACGCCAACCACTGTAGAAAGATATTAGTTAGTAAAAAAGAAGTTGCTCTTTTTCAGAACAAGGAAATGAAGGAGGTCCACGGCACAATTAATAAGAATTTACCAGTAGTTTTTCCCTTTAAAGGCTTTAAAGGGAACATCAACAATTTATGGCTTCCGGATTTATGCAGTAGAGACACAAAAGGAAATTGTCAGCATTTTGTCTCTTTACAATATATAAACGGTCATTATCTTCTCAGTTAATAAAGTAGGTGTTTGTTCCAAATTTTATTGAAAATATATTTCGATCATGAGTTGACCTTCGTCAGTTCTAACGATATAATAACTATCAAAATTAATAATGATAAAAAGATTTTAAAAAAGGGCAGTCAGAAGAAACAAAAAAAATACAACGAATTCAGATTAATGATACTAGATAATTCTTTCTCATTATTGTGCATTTTGTTTAGAATCAGGAATATTTAACTCATTAAAAATTTATGCTCATTTGAAAAAATAACAAACGTCTATAAGTATTAACTAATTGTTTTAGCATTCACGGTATTATGGTCCTGTTCGGCTGCCTGACCGTTGTAATGTTCCTGATCAAGAAACAAGTTCATGACATGACCTTGGGGTTCGTCGGTGAAGTGTGCGCAATATGTTCGATGCTTGTCTACGTGTTCACCCCCTACGGGAACCACTGGGTTCCCTACCTCTCTATTATCTTCAGCCTGGTCACTGGTGTCGTTGGAACAGTTTGCAAATCTCAGCTCTCTAAGGTCAGAAAATGGAGCTTAAAAAAACAAGATTTTTAAAATGTGTACAGTCCTCGGCGTATATATCAATACAAGAAAGACGACTTTCGATTTAATTTTTTTATTTCTACCAAGCTTTCTAACAGCATGGATACACATAACAGCTTATCTTTGTTTACTTGTAAACTTGTAATTTGAAAAAGTTTGTTAGAAATCAAAACTTAAATAGAAAAGTTGTTTTTGTAGTTTTGACTTCTCGGAAAATAGAAGTTCTCATCGAAATTTAAAAATAATACTTAGGTTTTAGATCTTTTTAAAATGGAAAAATGCGGTTTACTTTGGTTTGAAAATGTTTACTCGATTTAGATTGTTAAATAGGTTTATTCAAATAATATTGTTATTTGTTAGTAATAATATTGTTAGGGCACTTTTAATTCGTCTCTCAATTACGTAGAATTTTTAGTGGGACACCCTGTATTATAAATAGTACATAGCTCGACACATACAATAAATGTATTAGCATGCCTTCCAAAAATATTAGCCATGGAAACTTTCCCGGGAAAATTTAGTTATTTTTGACATTTCAGCTTAAATTTCTTTGTCAGCAGATGGTCTAATTTGATCTTTTTTTTGGATTTTTTTTTGCAGATTGTGCCATCGGATGAGATCTCTAACGTAATGGCCATCTTCGGTATGTTGATACCTGTCACCACCATCGGGCCGCCAATCTTTAACCTCGTGTATAAATGGAGTCTGGATCTTGCCGCGTGTAATTCTGTGGAGCGCGGGGAGAAGGATTGGTGTTCAGCTGTTTTTATTGGGTTTGGATCAAGCTTACTCTTCATTAATGCCGCCATTTTTGGTTACTTGAGGGTATCAATCGGTAGAAATAAATAAGATATATGTTTAATCATATTAATCAAATGATAATGTAAATCAATTCTTTTTATTTTTTAATTCTTTTCACAAATATGCATAAAAAAGTGTTATCAAAAGTACGTTTTTAAAAGAGAGAGTGCAGTGAAGAAAATATTCAGGATTACCCTCAAAGGATATGAGACTTCAGAGTCGATTTTACCTATTTGGTTCTGACTTTTTGTCTACATTTGTGGTTTCCTGCAAGTTTATACAGTCATAACCAGCATATACCTTTACTTGAAAGTTATTAAATTACTTATTAAGTAAAATTGGTCTGTTTACATTGCACAATTGCAGTCGATTTTACCTATTTGGTTCTGACTTTTTGTCTACATTTGTGGTTTCCTGCAAGTTTATACAGTCATAACCAGCATATACCTTTACTTGAAAGTTATTAAATTACTTATTAAGTAAAATTGGTCTGTTTACATTGCACAATTGCAGTGCCTCATGTTTAATGTGCTATTAAAAGTCATAACTTGAGTTTTTAAGTCGACTTTCTTTTCCAGAGTTTTCTGGTTATCACTGTACTTATTATGTTCTTTGTCAAATCATTTGGTAAACTTATTAAAGTCTATATCAAAATCCGAAGAACAAATAAATTTTCAGTTCGACAGAATTTAGGATTATTTATAGGTCGTCTTTTTAGTCTTATCCTGTGTGGGTAACCCTGTAGAATGATATCTATAGATTGTAAAACAATTTATAGCACTTGTTGGCGGACTAAACTTTTAAAACCTAAACTAAATTGTTGACTTAACCATACAAAACAAGGCAGGCCACATTTTTAAAATATAAATAGGAAAAAGTGTCGCGTCGAAATTAATACAGTCACATGATTTAAGTCCTATTTGCAATTCAGTCATTTCTGTATTTTCATCTTTATTAAAAAAACAAGTAAATTATTTTTCAGATCGTTGCAACGTTAAGATTGATTAAATCAAAGAGACATAAAAATATCATTAGGTGTTTTGTTTTATTTTTTTAAGCAATATTTTTAAACTTTTTGGCTTAATCTGAGAACAAAATCAAAAATGTATAGTAGGAATTATATCTTAAAGATAAAAGAATAATTTTTGTACAGGGTGTCCCACGAAACATGACAGTATGCAGGACGACTTAAATGTCGTCTTGATTTATCATATAATTTGCTGCGTTTATTTGTCAACCTAATTTTAGAAGTAAATTTCTAGAGAAAATAATCACAAAATTTCCCTTGTCCTGCCATTTCCAAAATGTGGTCTATTTCAAGAATCATACATGTTAAAGTAGATAGAAGACTAAACGTCACAAATAAATTCAAATATCAAAGACGACTTTTAAGTCGTCTTCCTATTGTCAAGTTTCGTGGGACACCCTGTACCTATAGTATAGGTCCAATAAAAAAGTGGACCCGGTGTCCTTTGTTTGAAAAGTTTTCATGGTTATTATAGTAACAAACAATCGGAAAAAAACTACTTAAGGCAGAAATATTGTTGATGAAATAATAATAATAAGAAAAAATTGCTTTAATTAAATAAAAAGAATAATTACATTGAAAACCAGAAAACTCTGAAATAGGAAGACGACTATTAGACTCAAGTTATTACTGAACAATATGCTTTTCATAAAATTCATTTAGAAATTGCTATAAAGTCGTCTTCCTATTTTAGAGTTTTTTGGTTAGCACTGTTCAATGACCGATTTTTCATAGAGTGGCAATCAAAAATGAAGATTAAATGTAGAGACCAGGAAATATTATTAAGGAGGTATGTCTCTATCAGGCTCTTAGCCATGAATTTCTCAATGGGGATAAAAGAGGGTTGCTGCAGTTTAGGATCCAGGATCACCGAGTAAAAACGCAGTATATACGGGGCATGGGGTTGTAGGAAGACGGAGCCCCTGCATTATTTTGTAATTTTTGTATCAAATTAAAAATTATACAAGTAAACCCTAATTATATTAAATACATCGAAAGAATTTATCAAATGTCGTATTTTTCTCGATCTGATAGGTTGCAAATAATTAGTTTTTTAATTAAATGATTATATGAAGCTCTATATTCATGGCTATTTATTTATTTTCGCAATCACTGAGATTTACGTAAAATAGTATAAAACCCATTACAAATTGTCAAGACGACATTTCACAAAATTTTTCGATGTATTTAATATTTAATTTTTATATTTTCTCATTAAAACTATTAATTTTAGCATGAAATTGATGTAACAGTGAAAATTTTATAAATTGTAAATCAACCATTTGATTTCTTTAAATTTGATGTTTTGTATACATACATTAATTTAATTAATTTAAGTACTCTTTTTTAATCTTAAGTTAAGTCATCAAATGAGTGAAATGGGTCTATTTGCACTGCAAAATTGCTGTTCCTCATGTTCATTGAAATATTTAAAGTCATAACTTGAGTATAACTCGTCTTCCCATTCCAGAGTTTTAAGGTTAATGTACAATTTATTTATGTCTGGACAAAATATTGAAACTGAGGCAATGAGCTTCTGTAAAAATTTAAAAAGTTAAAAAGTTAAAAAGTTAAAAAAAAACTATCTAAATCGTCTTCGATGTCTCATGTATTTTGAAACTCTCGATATTCCTGTACACTAAGATGAATACAACGACGACCTATCCGCTATTTTGCTGGCACCGGTTTCTCCTCCCTCCCTCTTCCTCCCTCCCCCCTCTTCCTCCCTCCTACATTCAACCCTCACAGCTGTCCAACTACAGCCGGACCGTACATCCCCTCCCCTAGGCTACTAGGCCTAGTCCGTCCCTCCCCTTCTCCCCGCCCCGGCACGCCGGGTAGTAACGATCCAGTGTTTACTATAGACTCGAGGTGGACGGAAGCGCAGCGACTGGTGGTGAAAAATAACAATATTAATTTATTGCCGAATAACCGGTGTAATTCTCAGCCTTCTAACAGCTGATTCTTTTACACCCTTTATTAGTGATTTTCTTGTTCAAATAGTGATTCGAATTTATAGAAAACATAACTGTGAAATCAACATTTTCTATAAGGTACGTGTTTAAATGTTTGCTAAAAATGTTTTATATTTATAATGAAGTGCAATGTTGCAAATCGTTTAAACTCTAGCGGAACACATAATTATAGTTTAATTTAGTTACTGTACTTTAGAAATGGCAAATTATTATGATTTTTTAATTTTTTATGCAATATTAAAATGTTCATGGGAAATTCAATGTGCTTCATACCTCTTAACTGCATGTATAAATATGGATATTATGCTTTTTTGATACGGATGGATAGATCTATTTATTATATCATATAAAAAATTAAAAGAAGTAAGCTGTTCGTTTGTTAGTACTATGTCAAATCATAACTCAGAGACTCTTTGACCGATTTGCCTTAAATTTTGATTGGGGAACTCGGGAGAACCACGGGAATACTCATACCTTGGGTTCAAGATTCTAACTTGAGTGGGTCCACTTTTAGCGGGAAAGATTTTAATTTATGACCAAGTGCGGGTAAACGGTTGGAGTAACTATGAGTAACCTGGGCAACACTGGGTTCCAAAGCTACTCTTCAATATTATTATATACAACGGATATAGGATGAGTATGAATGATGGATGATAGAATCATATTGATAATTATATAAACTCATGATCGAATCTAAATGGGGTTATTTAAACCTGTTGGTTTTAATGACATCCTAGATAAAAATTTGGATAATCCCAAAACGTATCAAAATTTTTTTTTTTTACTAGAACAGGATCGAATTTGGAGGTTGGTTAATTAATAAGAAACTTTCAGGATCCGGGAATGTCCATTGTAATAAATATCGAAAAAAAAACACTTTTCGTAATTTATTTATGCAGAATTTCGGTTATTTTTTTTTCTAGCATTCTTTCAACTTTCAGGAAATTCCGCTTATTGAGAATATCAGTGTATGAACCCCCTACAAACGCCCCTGACCAAATTATTGTATCTGCGCTGAAAACCAATTTATCAAATTCCTAAATCAAAATGACAATACCACAACCACTGGAGGAACGACAGCCTATTTTTAATCAATTACAAGTATTGATATACGATATACAACACGGCCCCCTCCCACATAAATATTTGTAAAATTCGGGGATGGGGGGGGGGGAAGAAAAATATGAATGTTATGAAAATGAAAAAACGGAATTCATGTTAAATGCTTCTTTAAGAACGACTAAATAATAGTAATTATTTACAACAAACACTAAAAATATGAGAAAAAAATAAGGCTAATGATGTACATTCAGAAGTAAAAACAAGTAGAAAAACATTTAAATATCTGATTCGTTACAGCGGTTACAGGGTGTAAGTGCTTATGATCCGCACTGGATCCAGGTCATTTCTTGATTTTCTGATTTTTTTAAACAAAGCAGAATTTTCATATTTTTTCGCTTATTTTTATGCTAAAACTTGATGAACCATTCAGAAATCAGGAAATTTTCATATTTTTTTCAATAGTTCAGATTTGGGTTTTTTTTGCGGTTTTTGGTTGATAATTTGCCCCTTGGATCCAGATCCTTGGATTCGCATATTTTCGCGGATCCGGATCCAGAAAGCAAAAATCTTGTGGATCCGGATCCTAAGCACTGAAAGAAACACGTATCCGAACAATCGCAACAAAAAATTTTGTTCTTCATTTATTTAGAAATTATCAATTGCAAGTGATACTTTTTTTAATTTAAAATTATAAAAAAAAAATTTTGGAGAAATTATCATAAACCTGGTATAGGTCTAGTTTGATTTAGAATTTAATTAATTTAAACGATTTATTTTCTATTTTTAAGAGAGCTTAAGATAATATTCAGTTTTGAAATTTATAGTTTAGATTGTATTATACAAGAACCTTTGTTAAATATTTCTATGTTGATAATATTTTTCTGCAGGGGGGGGGGGGGGATATTGATTCATATGAAGTAAACATATTCTAGATGTAAACATTTTGACCACCCACCCATTAGCCGGGGGGGGGGCGGGTTAACTGATTTTATTCAATTAATACATATGTAAATAATTATCAAAATTAAGCTTTAATTAATTTTTTGGCTCAAAATTGTTAAAACAACTCGTTTTAGATTAAAATATGCTAGTTTTTGAGATGATTGTTCAAATAAAGCCTGAAACTAATTTTTATTTATTCACTTATAAAATTGCATAAATTGCAATTAATAAATTTGATAAAGGATATCAAATTTACAAAGTTTTAAAATTTTTATTTTGAGAACGTCTAAATTGAAAATGCACAAGATAAGATAAAAAATGTAGCAAGAAAGAATATTATTTCAAGTCTATTCAATCCGCAAATTTTAAACCTGAAAATGCATAAAGTAGTTTTTTTTGCATTTTCCCTAAATTTTCAAATTTCTCTTTCTCTGTTTAACACGAAATGGTTCTCTCCCCCCTTTTATTCAGTGTGAACCGCATGGATTTGCAATTTATACCTTATATGGATCTTTACAGCACGTTAAAATTATAGGGGTGGTGGTTTTTTGGGGAAGGGCAATGTTATTGTTCAGAACACCTTTCAGAGTGCAAAGGGTTCTGGTTCCCCTATGGGGGAGGGGTACCGAAATCCCTGATTTTTTTGCCGCAAACATTAATTTTATAACATTTGTGTTATGATTTGTAACCTCATGTTACAAATTCAAAATTGAGATAATAAGTGTTCAAACTAGGTTAATAATGAATGCGTAAGCTTATAGGCAAACATTTGGTGGATTATAGAAAGCATAAAGTTCAATTCAATTCTGACTTTTTACACCCCCCCCACATCCCCATAAGATTGTGCAAGCGTAATTTCAAATAGATTCTAGTACAATAGATGGCAACGAAGAATTGTACAGTACTCTCAGTACAGTTGTATTCTGACGTCTCAAGTGTCAATTCAATTTTGTATCTGACAAATTATTAAAAATAGTGATAATCTTAGAATTAAGTCCTTATCTTACAGTAAAATAAGAGCAGTTTTATGTGTTCTTTATTTTCTGTTTAAACTTTTTTATTTTATCTTGGTCAACTAATTTGAGAAAATTTCGTTTTTCTTTTTATATTGTGACGTCGTGTATAATTGGTCCATTTCTCTGCTGCCACCTATTGTACTTGATTATCTATTTGGGTACATATAGTTTAATTGCCTCAATTTAAAGAAAAAATGCTAGAATTAAAAAATAGTTATATTTTCGAAAATATTAAATTATTTAAATGATTCAAAACTTGGTTTAGTTTTTTTCTCTCATCTCTGAACCAATTTCGTAATTTAAATTACAGTAGTAAAATGCCCTGCACTGACCCTGGCCTTGGTTTAAGAGTAGATATTAATATCAAACACTGCCTCAAAACTGCTTAACAAGGTCTCAAACCCATTGTCCTTTAAAAATGGAGCAATTTAAACTTCATTAAAAATATCGAATCATTTTGATCAGGGTTGAAATTACTAAAAAAATTCGGTTCAGTACAATCAAACGGTGGCGGGACGGTACAATTTCAAATGTCCTGGAGTTCAAGTGTAATTCATTTCCTAACATTTCTTACGTTTAAGCATTTAACCAAAAGTAAATAAACGTATATATATGTATATATTTCATCAGTTGTGTTGACAATATAGAAGTGTTTACAGAGAGGGGGGGGGGTATATATTTAGGAGACAAATAGCGCGCAATACCATTAGAGGGGGGGGGGCTTCGGAGGGATATATACAAAAAGCGCAATGATAGAAGGGGAGGGGGAGGGGCTTAGAGGGCTAAGGGTGGATATGAACTTGAAGGAATAATTAATAATTGGGGCCACAATATAGTGAAATGTGTTTTCTCCACCTTAAGTAATGTTAGTTAAGTACTAAAAAAATAGTGCAATGCACGAGGAACAAGAGAAAAAAGGATGCAATAATGGCGTGGGGGAAATTACCGGGAATATTTAAGAACGAAAGGGAATATAGGGACCAATTGTGTACAGAGGGGGGTGGTGCATTGTTGCATTTGAGTATATTGGAGAAAATAAGAGAGGATTCTGAAAGATGAAGTACCCTCAGGGTTGTTGTGGGAAAACAAGATGTGTTGGGTATATTTCAAGTGCTGGATGGGAAATTTTTGGGAGAAGGGGGGGGGGATATGACGGCGGAATTTTCAAGTGAAATTTAGGAACTGTCCTATGAGTTCTATTGTGTATTTAAATGAGAAACTATTGAGCTGGCATTTTCCCATGTTGCATTCTCTAATTAACCCTAATAGTACATTCTTCAAACTTTTACTTTGCCGGGGATCCTGCCCCCCATCCTCGCCTTACTTGCATATATTGCAATATGCTTGACACTTGAACGATATGTAATATCGTTACGAGGTTAAAAACACCATTAAGAAGTTTGACGGATTTAGTAATTTTACAACTGGTACATGTTTGAATATTGTACAGATTAGGGTGTAATGGTAAACTTGTACATATTTGAATACTGTACACTGTACAGATTAGGGTGTAGAGGTAAACTTGTACATATTTGAATACTTTACACTGTACAGATTAGGCTGTAAAGGTAAACTTGTACATATTTGTACAGATGTGTAAAGGTAAACGTGTACAAATGTACAGTCTGTACACTTGACATTTTATGTAGACACGTATTTATACTTCACACTATAGGTGCTTCAAACAATCTGTACACTGAACAGTAAACACTGTAGATACATAATTACACTACACTGTACTGGTCAAATATATGAAGAATTATAAAGCATCAATGCTTGGTTCGCACCTAATGTATTTACAATTGAATGATTGAGATGCGTAGCCAATTATTTATATTGGTTGCATTGTATGCTAATACTAGAACTGCATCTCTCCTCTCTATTATACTATTACTCACTCAGAATCCATTGATCGTTTATATGACTAATATACTCTCTCATATTATTATCCCCGACTCATGCACAAATCCCCCTGCCTTGCCCTTCAGCTACACCAGGGGTTAATATTCCCCCCTTCAGCTACACCAGGGGTTAATATTCCTCCCCTTCAGCTACACC